GAGGGCTAGTCACAGTCGTTGTTGAAGAAGAAGAAGCCAGAAGACGAGCCTTTGTCGGAGAAGAGGCTGAAGTCGATGTCAGAGAAGGCCGACAACCCCTTTTTCCGATGCCTTGTTCGTTGCTGGAAAAGAAGAAGACGACGGGGGTGGAGAGGAAGGAAGAGATGGGGACGACGACAAGCCGCTGGTGGAATGAAAAGCCGCCGACGATTGAGAAGAGAAAGGAGGGTGGTGGCGGCGGTTCTCCTCGTACGAGCCCGAGGGAAGCCTCATTGACCTCAGCGGAGCAGCAAGGTGGAGCTCGAGTGGGGCGAGTGACTTGGGCTGAGTGGTCCGCGAGTCCGCAAGGAGTGGGTTGTAGAGGCCTGTTGAGGATGATGAGCAAGCTGAAGCTTGAAGTGGGGGAGTCCAAGCAAGTTCCAAAGCCTAGGCCAGAGTTGGAGAGAAATCAGGCCAAGGTGGAGTCATTAAATGGGCTGAAACTCAATGAAATTGGGCCGAGAATTAAGATGAGGTGGGCTGGGTCCTCCTTACGCCGAGAAAAGCAGCAGGGTGAGCCGATTTTTGGGCCGCGGCCAAGAAAGAAGTGGGCCAAGAGAGAGAGAGAGAGAGTGGTGGGCTGAAGCTTGAAGCAGAATGGGCCAACCAAGATTGTGGTCTCGGGCCCCAAATGGGATGGCAGTTGGGATTATGTTTAAATGGGATGGATTTGTAGAAAAAGAGAAGTGGGTTTGTAGGAATAAAAGATGAGCTTTTAAGAGAGCTAGGCTCAAAATTAATTGGAGAAACAACTTGCCAGAGTACTGAGCTAGATTCAAGGAAGATGTTCGCAGGTCTTGATGAGTTGGTACTCGAAGATAAGTTTTTGTACAAGAACGTACATGAGAATCCCTTAAGCGGCGGGGGTATGATGCCAACGAAAAAGGAGTTGTTCGAATTTGTAAAGGAAGCGACTAGTGGGCCCATGAAAGTGAAATTCGAGGAGTTAAATCATCACAAGGGGATCGGTGCAAGAAGCCTAGTACTAAAGTTGGAGCAGGATTGGAAGAAAAGGAAGCGCAAGCGATGGAGAAGGCAAGGCGCGGGTTGCAGGGGCGATGTGAAGAAGTGGGTCGAGTGGGTCAACCTTGAGGGCAAGGTTGGTCTCAAGGGGGAGGGGATGATAGAAACCTAATTTTTAGGTTCTATCATAATTATTATAATTACTATTATTAGGATTTATTATTAGATAAGGTTAGTAGTCATTGAGTCGTATTAGGAAAGTCTATTAGGTTTTTCAGTCTTTCGGTATAAATATGTACTTTGGGGTTTACGTCAGGATCAATAAGAAGAATATTAAGAAAAGTCTTCCAAACACTAATCTCCCTATCCTCTCAATTCTCAATTCTCAAACCCTCTAAAGGCCAGGCCGATTCTCTATCTTCTTCCCCAAATTCTCTTCTAAATCCCTAATTCCTATCAATTCCCCAATTTTCCAACCCAATCGATAGAACCCTAGAAATAGATTTCTATCATATTACCACCTTATAATGGTTTAACCTGTAACTGCGGGTTAAATTTTGAAAACCAGTTAAAATGTGAATCGACTAACCAATTATCAACCCTAATAAACCGTATTAATTACCAACTCGATAAAAAATTTCATGATTTTGATATTGTGTGTTTATCTAATAAATGGTAAATCATTTTTCAATTTGACATACTCAAGCGTAGAGCTACAACACGGTTTGGGGGGTTTCGGCCCCTGAGAATTTTAGAAATCGTGTATAAATCACTTTATGGTAAGAAATACTATAATGTATGGCAAATTAAAATAGAGTTGTGTGTCAACATGGACAGAGAATGGGCAACAACTCAATCGTGGGACGAAGACCATCCACATTAATGAAATACCATTTCTATTTCATATGTGGTCTCTACCGCCACATTAACAACTTTTCTCATTTCACTTCATATCAATTCCATTCCCTCCACATCAATGACATACACTTTCTATTTCATATGGTGGGTCCAATTGATTATTTTAATACAACTCTATATTTTTTCTAAAAAAAAAGAAAAAATAAAGAGATGAGTCAAAACCGTGAAAAGGGGCCCACATCTACCCCACTTGCTATTCCATTCAGACTTCCATTAAGTGGAAGCTATCACTTTATGGAATAACCTCTACAACCATGAAATGGTAAATGAAAGTGTCATGTCATCAATGAAATGGCTGCAAGACAGCCGATGGAGCTGCTCTTAGTTCCTCTTACCAGATCTGCGAGTTCGAATCCTGATGCATTAAGTTTTTTTATGTCCTTATCTTAGTTTTATTCTACCTAAATGTTAATTAGGTATTTAATCTTCATGATATTTTTCTCTTAGATAATTTCCCCAAGTTCTTTAATCTCAAATTAAATAAATAAAATTTTCAAATTAGAAATTTTATAATTCCTTTAATATAAACTTAAAGTAACTAATTTTTTAGCTTGTAAATTCACATTTTAAAGGTAAATAAGTAATTTTAAATTAAATTATTTTTCAGTTATGAGAGTGATAACGAAAATGCATCATTACTTTTGTTAAAGGAAGACTTATCAGTGATAATATCGTACTTGCCTATGAGATGGTTAAAAAATATAATAGGAATGTTGTATCTTCTAGATGTGCCATGAAAATAGATATCATGAAGACGTTTGATAGTGTGAATTGGGATTACTTGACTGATATGATGACTCTGTTGGGTTCCATATACAGTTTGTGACTTGGATTAGAAAATGTCTTGCTAATGCCTTGTTTACTATCTGTTTCAATGGGGAGTTAGTTGGAAACTTGCAAGCAAAAAAGGCCTTCGTCAGGGCGAACCCATCTCTCCCTACCTCTTTGCCATGGCCATGGAAGCTTTGTCTTGCATGTTAAAAAAAGATGTTGAAAGGAAAGTGCTTCCTTATCATTCACAGTGTGCTAGGATAGGTCTCACTCACTTTGAGTTTTGCTGACGACCTATTAATATTCACTAATGGGGCAGAGGAGGGTGTGAGGGTAATAGCTGAGATTCTGGAACACTTTTACAGGTTATCTGGATTGAGATGTAACCCTAGCAAAAGTGAGTTATTTTGTGCTGGAATTAGTTTTGATGCTAAGGAGGCAATTGTGAGATTTTATGGGTTTAAAGAAGGGTCATTGCCAGTCAGATATATCTTCGAGTGCCTCTTGTAGCAGGTAAGTTGGGTGTGGCAGATTGTCAACAACTAGTAGGTAGAATAACAAAACGTGTTAAGGATTGACGGTCTAAGTTGTTGTCTTATACTGGTAAAATTCAGCTAATCAAAGCTGTGCTAGCTAGTGTAACTGATCAGTATTAGTTGAATGTCTTTCAGTTGCCCAAGAAGGTTATCAGAGGGATAGAGAAGGTGTGTTCTGAATTTCTATGGAGCAATGGTTCTGACAATAAGAAGGCAAAGGTAACCTGGTCTTTGGTTGCTCTGCCAAAGAAGGAGGGTGGTCTAAATTTCAAAGACTTGTAAGAAATACCAAAATGATCTGAAGAAGAATGTAGCCATTGGGAAGTAACCTGAAGAAGAATCCCAAAGTGACCTGATACACCTGGGGGAAGGTCTGAGCTGTACTTGTAAGAAATACATCCAACCATTTGTCATTAATCAGAACCTTATCAAGACGTTTGGCTTTTGGATTAGCTTGCTTCTTATTCTACCAAGTAAACCAAGAGCCAGAGACTTTATGGTCACTCAACTATAGATTCTCAATCCATTCTCTGAATTTGATCATACTCTAAGAGATAATAATTGGGTTGAAGATTTCTTCACATCATTTACTCCATTGAAACTCCAAGAATGGCCTAGGGGAAATGGGTGATCTTATAGATACGGTAGTCCTTAACTCTATCCTGTTCTTTGTTTAGACTATAGACATAGGATAATATTTTCTGGATTTGATATATATCATGCACTTCCATTTGCATAAAATGCTTACCTTCAGACAACTTGCTAACCTTCAAATAAGGCCTCCAGAATAGCGAAACCCGTTATGCTTTAGACTTGGTGTAGTTTTTACCATGTTTACATGCAACAAAATTAGTATTTACTATCTTCTCATTATTCTCTATATTAACTCGTCATTCTAATATAACTATAGTATCTATCTTCAATATGTCAAACTTCCTCAACACTGCAGAGTACTTGATAAGAGAGTTGAAACCCCTGACATTCCAGCAGAAAACCCTTATTTTATCCCAACAGTAGAAGAAGAAAAAAGTTTAGTACATTTACAACATCAAGCTTGTCATGTCAGGTCACTTGCCCCCAAAACAAGACCACTTCACGTGGGAAATGGTCCCTTCCTGGAGTTTCTGTTTCAAGATGCTCTTTTGACCAACAGAAAACCCGCAAACAAACAGAAACCCCACAACCACCTTACAGGCTTATACACATTTGCTGAGCAGTAGACCTGGCTGGCTGATCAACAGCCAAAAGCCAACAACCCGTTTCAGCAAAACTCTAGTATGAGACGTAATGGACAACGAAGAAGCCTTAACCGATTCATCAATCTCGAGCTGAAAACATTGCAATGAACAACCTTTGACGTGCGCATGGTAGGCAAGTAAGATAGTTAGCAGAGGAAACGAAGAACAAAACCATCCACAGGTGTAAACGCAAGACATGCATAAGCATTTGCGGAAAAAATAGTAGTACTCTACGCCATAAACATAATATAGAGAGTATACAACCTCCCCCGTATCACCTTGATCTCGAAGCCTCGTCCCCTTTGCAAACTCGGGGGAAGCAAATGGTCGTCAGGAGGACAATGAATCTACCAAACTTCATCAGTTGATATCTATGGGCTTTAGCGGGGTGAAAGTGTACAATCTGAAAGGAAAGGGTGGAACATGAAACCATAATATCCACTTCACTAGCTGCTAGCCCCTCCTGCAGTTGAAGTAATCAACATAGCGAAACTGCACACTACTGAGCTTGGCCTGGATGATGATCCACCATAGCCTAGCTTCTCGATTTCCCACTTGCCAACGTGAGCTCGAGATCCTCCACGCCCATTTCATGGATCCGCTCGCCTTCCCAAGGCTTCACCTTTCCATTCCCAAACTCAAACTCCGACCCTCCCTTCCCTCTTTCGGCTGTTACATTCCCCCAATTAAGACCATTATCAGCTCCATTATTCCTCTCCTTAGCTGTTGCAACCGGTTTAATGAGGTGAAAAGTCGGTGAAGGAGGAGCGACATGAGAGGAACTAGGAACTCCTTGGAAACACAACCAACGGCCAGAATCCACTGGGGAGACATCAGACTCATCACACTCAGGGATAGCCACGGGTGCAAGGTAGTGGCGTCGAGTGGGACTAGAAGGTGCAGAGGCAGCAAAGATGGGATGCCTGAAGGAATTCATGAGCGAACCGTTTGCAAGTGACTCCCAATCAGGTGGCTTTGGCTTTGAACTCCTGGTGGGGGAGGAGAGAGGCGGGGTTACTGGAGCGCTGTTGGATATTCGAAGTGGCGGCGACAAGTTTGTGGGTATGGAAGCTATGTTCCGGAGTAGTGGAACAAGGTAGGCAGATGGGTTTCCTTCAAAACGTGAAGGGCTCGGGAATGAAGATGAGGTTGGACTGGCGTGGTAGGAAGGGATGGGACTTTGGAAATTGGATGACTGTGGGCTAGGCTGCATTGAGGAACCTGCACTGAAGTTTGGTGGAGTGCCTGATACATCACAAGGAGGCGGCTTGGTGCCCTGCGACAGTGAAAAGCCAATCACAACACAAATAAGCCAATTGGGATATGGAGATTGAAGTTTCTTTCAGCTCAATTTGATTGCAGAGAAACCCGAGTAATGGCATTGAATGGTGAAAACCATATTGTTCTGGCACAGACTAAACTGAGTCGAACATCAGGAGATACAAGAAAGCTGAAAACATGATGTCTTTCCATAGCACAACCCTCTATGAACTAATCAAGACTAAGCATTAGGTTGAGGAGAACTAGAACGAGTAATCACTGGAAAAGTAGTTCAGAAATCAAGCAGCTGAATGAACCCGAGAAGCTGTCAAAGATTGAAATCAATGAATGGAAAACCAATTAAAATGGGAACGGGAGGAGCATAAAAGGCCAAACCTTGCGGTAAGTGGTGCCATCTTCTTCAACGATCCAGCCAGCCTCAGCACAAAGGGCTTTCAAAACCTCGTTGTTGTCGCAATGCTTGGGAAGCCTGAAGTTGCCCTGAGAACGAAGACCAGTGTAGATCTTAGCAGCTATAGCTCTTCTCCTCCTCTCCCTCCTCTTGTTGTTCTCTCGTTCCTTCCAAGTCGGCAGTCTCCCGGACGATCCAGCAGCCGTCATCCTTTACCCAACGAACAACTCTCTCAAAAATCAATCTTCTTCAACTTTTCTTTTACCAATTTCCCGCAAACTGGCTCTCTGGGTCTTTATCACGAGCACTTGGCGTGCCTGGCTTGATAAAAGAAAGCTATCATCTTCTCTCTCTGCTTGGGCCCTTTCGGGGAAAAGGGGGAAAACTTTTCTTCGGAAAGATTTCAACTTTTTAGTTGTAGCAGCTGAAAAGAAACTTCAGATGTCGTGGGGCTTGCTTGATTCGATTCTTCTCTTCCCGTTAATGCGGTGCCTGCTTCTCCTCCTCCTACCCACCGAGAGGAAGACTTCTGGGGATAACAGGGAGAAATGGGTCAAGCTTTTTTCGTCGCAGGGGAAGCGTTGAAAGTTCAGTTTGAACAGTTGATTGAAGCAAAGATCGCTGCTGGCAGGCAGAACTGGGTTTTTCAACAGTGAATAAAAGAACTGAGTGATTCTGAGCTAGAGAAATTGCCAAATGGAGGAATCAATGCTCTCTTCGTTTCAACTCTCGTTCTGGTGAATTTGGGGAGAACTGAGAAGATAGGGAGAAATGGAAGGAAGATGCCAAAGTTTGTTGAATCTATTACATCACTGCCGCTGCTCGGTTACTCCTCTCTGGCTCACACGCACACAGCCAGAGACCAATTCTGTTTCAGTGATAAATTATTGGGTTTTCTAATAATTTCGGTCACACGCTTATTAACAAAATGCCAAGAAAAATCTTACCGGTCTATGTGGCAAATGGGAAAGATGTTGAAAATTAGTATTGTGTTTTACGATCATTGAGAATCATACTGTAAAATATTAATTGACCACAAAACGTTAATAATGTCATTAGAAATTATTGGAAGAGGTCATGACTAGATAAACGTTAACAATGTCATTAAAAATTATTGGAAGAGACCATGACTAGATAATTATAAACATGATGTAAGAAGGTGAATCATTAGTAAAGATGTTGTAAATCAATGATAGTGTTATTCAAATGGTTAATGACAATGTTACATAACTTTAGCTATTCATTCATAAGCATTGATGATAAAAAAATATAAAATGATAGCAATTGATCCAAATTTTTTAATGATGTAATTGTAAAGAATTGATATGTATATTGAAACCGTTAATAATGATGAGGTATAGTAATAAACTAATAATTATCATTATCATAAACGATGATAATGCATTGCAAAACGTTAATATTATATTGCAAGTTGCCACAAAGTGAGAGAGGGCGGATATTTTAAATTTTTAATTTCCATTTTATAAAAGAAAAAATATTGAGTGAGAATTTTATTAAATATTAAATAATAATATTTAATTCATTTTGAGTTTTCTTTTAATTATTGTAGTTGAGACTTAGAAAGGATTGTGCAGAAGGTCTCACGGGAGGAGAGAGAAAGAGAATCATTAATTATTAATATTAAACATATTAAACAAATTTGCATAATATCTCATTTATTATCAACTGCCTATTAACTACCAATCCCTCGTTAATTACTTAATTCACTATTAGTCAATAGGAATGGGTTAAGAATCTCCTTTAAGTAATGAGACTTAGGAACTGGACCTGACTCGAGGGATTCTAACATTAAAGTATTGGTGCTTTAGTTTACATGCTTTTACGGTATAAATTAAAATTGTAACTTTAACGTTTTAGTACAACTTCAGGTTGTACTTATACTCTATTGTACAAATTCTTTTACGGTATAAACTGGATTTTTAACTTTACATTATGGTACAATACAACTTTAAGTTGTATCATAACATATAATAGGGTTGATAATTTGTGCGGTTTCGGTTTCACCTAGGGCTGGGAAACGGTGCGGTCTGGTCCAGACCAGACCATATATACGGTCTACGGTCCAGACCAGACCATATATACGGTCTACGGTCCAGACCGAGAGGCTAAAGTATAGACCATAGACCAGACCACAGACTATACGGTCTGGTCCAGACCACGCCTGTGCGGTCTGGTTCGGTCTGGTCTGGTCCAGATAGACCACACTCAACGAAAAATGAATAATTTGTTTAGTCAACCACACAAAAAATTGAACCAATAACCAAGAAAAATAATTGTTATTTGCCTTAAATCATTAATCCTAACATGCATGAATAATTTTGATACTCTAAATCTTAGTACATAACAAAGATACAAAGTAAAAGCATCCCGGCTTGTACCATAATGTCATAAACATTAACATAATGTCATATGGAGACACGATTATCTCTACTCTGTGGTTAAATGTGGTTGTGAATGAAGGAGGGAAGAGATTCACAAAATTAAGGTTGAGACTTGTGTCGTTGTGGGAGTTTGGAGAGTGGTCGAATGGGCTGTTAACACGTATTGACAAGTCAGTTGGGGTCTACGGTTTGGTCCGGTAAACCACAGTCTAGACCAGACCAGACCAGACCAAGAGATCAAATCATAAAATAATACAGACCATGGACCAGACCAGACCATACTTCACGGTCTACGGTCCGGACCAAACTGTGCAGTACGGTTTGAACCACGGTTTTTCTAACGGTCTGGTCTATTTTCCCAGCCCTAGTTTCACCACACCGAATTATCGGTTACCCACCACCATTTGGGGCCGAGACAGTTAACCATCACCGACGTCAAAAGGGGATATCGGTTAGCCGACACCGAATCCGAGTGGCTTGGATCGGTTGATCGGTTAGATCCGTAACTGCAAATCATCTGCCCTCTCCAATTTCCATTCACTATAATTGAAGCCTGGTGGCAAAGGATTGCAGGAAGATCGATCTAGGCGGATGCAGATGGCGGGGCGACGGATCCATTAGAGGAAGAGAGGGGCCGCGACTAGCATGCTGGATCTGATCGGATTTGTAGCTCTGATTGTCGCCGCTGTTTTACTCTTCCACCCCACTACGTACCTCCGTTGTCACTCGAAACAGAAAGCGAAGCCCTCTTCTTCAACCGAAACAGATGGACCTCCACGCTCCGCCGACTCCTTCAACTACTCACTCTGCGTTGAACTCCTTCTTGCATGTCCCCCTTCTCTACCTTCAAGCGAAGCCAAAGGTGGTGGACGATGTTGTGTGGTTGCGTGAAACGAGAACGACAGCAAAAGAAGGAAGGGGCGGCGGTGTCAATTCTGGGATTTGGATATTCATGAAATATATCAGGGAAAAAGGAGGGTGGTTGTCGAGTATGTGGTGCACCGACGCAATTGTTGGTTATAAACCGCCAAACGTCGGTTACCCAAAATTCACAAACGCCCAAACCGACACTGCAAACGATGATAATAAACGGTTATCAGTTAGCCGATTAATCGATATTTTCGGTTAAGTTATGTGATTAACCGAGTAACTGACAACTGCTTATCACCTCTACTTATAGGTATAAATTACCTTATGATATAATCTAAACTTGTATATTTAAAGTACAACTTCAATTTGTACCTCGAAATACCAAATTTAAAAATAAGATGGAAAACTTTTAGCAATCACCGATAAAAAAAACTTTTAGTTTATTATTTATTTTGAATTCATTATTCTGCAAACAAAAGCATAAAGAAGTATCGAAAACAAACCCCCTATTGCAACAAAAAATAATAATTAAGAAACAAGGATGACTTTCCTGCGAGAGAACTCTCTCTCCCTTTTGGGGTGTGCCGGTGTGGACAACCTATACCCATCTCCCCTCCTCATCTGTATCCTTCACTTTTTTCCTGAGTTTTTCTCATTTTTAGGATTATTTTGCTGGAATTGTGAACCTTATAGGTCGTTTTTCATTCTTTCTTCCGACTAATAATATTATTGCACCATATTGATTATCGCTATTAAATATGTTGGGAAAAGACGTAAACAATACCACCTAAATGTGAAATGTTATTCCTAACTAGGTGTATGTAAGGTTGTCAACCCGTGGGTTGATCTACTGGTTGACCCACTTTGAAATGGGTCGCATATATATGTCGAGTCAACCGCTGCAAGGTACTGGATTTGAGATCAAATTGTGTTTTTAGTGGTATTTGATATTAAACATTGCATCTGAATATTATTAATTGTGTTTATTTTCAAATAAATTATATTTCCTTATGAGTGACTAATATCATTGTTAAAAGCTTGAACTCATTTTTTAATGTTGAATTTAGACATTATTATAATGATGTTTTGTATTTATTTTCAACGAAATACTATTTGTTATCAATGATTTGTTATATTGTTATTAAGAGTTTGGAGCCTTGGTGTGAATGTTTGTTTGTTTTAACTAATATTTTTCCTTACTATTGTTTCCTTCACAACATCATAGTGCACTATGTTGCAAGTGTCGATGATGTTGAAAATCTATATTGTGCTGTATGATAATTGAGAATGATAATATATAGCAAGTTGCCACGAAGTTAGAAAGGACAGATATTTTTAATTTTCAATTTCCATTTTAAAAAGAAGGAAAATATCAAATTTAATCACTTTTGTTCAATTTTAAAAAAGGAAAATATTAAGTTTGGCTGAGAGAGGGTTATGGAGAAGGTCATGAGAGGAAATAGAAAAAGAATCATTAATTATTAATATTAAGGCCAATACTATGGTGCCGATGAGTATAATAAAGACTTTCCAGTAACAGTGGTTACAGAGCTTCATGGATTCAAATTTTCTTTCTTCTTAGACTTCCACGTCATCGCCTCTTTTAACCAATCACAATGCAGTTTAGAAAGAAAAAAAATTCCCCTGTGTGGTTTACAACCATTTATCATGTTATTTTTTTATTTACCTATTATTTTTTCATGTGATGTAAAGGGAAAATATCCTAAAAATGCAACTATGATTTTGTTTCCCTTTTTAGGAACAAGTAATTACAAATTAAATCCCATAGTAACCGGTTAATTGATGTTTTCTAATTTTTCTTAGTCCACTTTGAACGTGTATTTCTTCAAACTGCTCTCACCCTATAGTGAAAACAAAAAAATTATAATACTTGAGTTTGCAAATATTATTTTCAATATTGTGTGAATTCCAATTTGTTATTAAAATGATTTTTTCATAAAACTCTAACATGGTGAATGCCACAAATGATTTATTTTGAAACTCTGCAATCTATTTTATTGATAGATAGATGTATAAATAATATTCTAAGTTATTAATTTAATTCATTCAATATGGATATTAAACGTGTTATACAGGTTTTATACGTGTTTAGTATGGGGCCATCAAATGGACAAGAAAAAGTGGAACGGTCTGATAATAGTATGGTGAAAAAATTAAACGATAAAATACGTGTGTTCATATATACGCATATTAAACGGGGTATTTACTAACTATGATTTGGAGAAATTTTTATAAAGTTTGGTGAAAATACGTTTGATAAGATTTTTAGAGAAAAAATTGATGGAAAGTGAGTATTTTTTTATAATCTTAAAGTTTGTCAACGAAACGGTGAATAGTGTGTTTAGTAATACAATGAATTATTTTTTGTAAGATGCATTTTACATTAAATTAAGTAACATACTTTAGATTTAATAGTGATTTTCAATGAAAGTTTAGAAAAATGTG